GAAAATGTTTTGAGAAACGATGTACAAATGCTCTTTACACAATTGATGTGTGTATGGATTGGGATAACAGTTGTATGAGCCCCTAATAAAATGTTAAAAAACAAAAACAAGAAAACATTAAAAAAAAAAGAAAAGAAAATCAAAGTACTAATAGTTCAGTTTTATAAACCTTGACATTTTCCTTTTACTAGATAAACCATAAACCAACCAAAAACTGCCATCAAGTTAATTCTGATTTATAGGGACCCAAGTGGACGGGGTAGGAGCCCAGTTAGTGATTACACACTGGGCTGCTAACTGAAAGGTCAGCAGTTTGAAACCACCAAACTCTCCGTGGGAGAAAGAAGGGGCTTTCCTGTGAAGAGTCACAGCCTCGGAAACTCACAGGGCAGTCTAGCCTGTCCTCCGGGGTCACTGTGAGTCAGCGCCGACTTGATGGCAGTGATTCAGCGAAGACAGGGTAGAACCGCTCTCTGGGGTTTCCAAGACTGTAAATCTTTAGGGGTAGGGGCAGTAGTCTTCTCTTTATCCCTAAGGCTGTCTGGTGGAGTCAAACTGCTGACCTTGCAATAAGCAGTCTAACTTGCTATGCCATCAGAGCTCCTTGAATAAATCATATGGAAAGTAAAACAGGTAGTGAAGGATACTTCCTCTATACAGTAGTGCTTATCTGTTACCTGTGGAAGTCACCTTCTCTAAAAAGAGAGTTTCTGCTTTTGAGGTGGTTCTATTAATGGGACAAGATTAGGCTCAGCAGTGCTGCCTCATCTCCTGCTAGGCACTCCATTTTTAGTAAAGCAATACCACACTAGAAGTAAAACCGCGCAGAGTTCCCGGATGCAAGCCATGACTAAGTATTTCTCTAAAATCCCAATATTCATATTCATTCTCTCTCTCCCATATATATATATATACACACACACATTCTTTACTTCTGATTCTTAGATCAGAACTCTTTTTCTCTCTTAAACACTGTCCCTGGTAGTTCACTTGGATTTGTAATGGGTGGTTTTGAAGCTATTTCCGGAACAGCTGCTGAAGCTTGGGGAACAGTTTAAATGCATTCTGTGTTGTCACTTCTATAACTTCTTCCACAGGGATCCCTTTCACCTGGGCAATGTATTCTGCTGCAATGGCTATGTTCTGAGGTTCATTCCGCACCTGAAAGAGAACAAAACTGACACTCAGTCCCACATGGCTCTGAGGTGTAGTCCGAGCCCCTCTATGTGCTGTATTATCATTCTGGCCTCTATGCCTGTGCTATAGCCCTGTTTTGGAGGGAGTTCTCTGCTAGCTAATGGACAGAATTAAGTCTCCAAGTTAGTAGAGGATGTGAAACAAGTCATTACGCTTTGCTTTCTTGGGGAAATGGTCTGCTGAAAGGCAAAGCTGCACCTCCATCAAAGCATTCCTCTGTGTGCAAGAGCCATCTTGCAAGCCCAGGACCATTGCCATGGAGCACATTTGAGCTCTCTGAAGCGGTGGAGGCAGACCAGAGGCACTGGAGGCTGCTGCTCAGAACCATGGACAGAGCGAGACAGCACGAAACAGTAGGCAAGTGGTGTCCAGACGGTGAGACTGAGGCAGAGCAGTGGGTGGGTTTCCTGGACCAGAAGCAATGGATGAGGCCGTGACTGAGGATGAGGACCAGAAAAAGTTGGCTGCTGCCTGAGGAAAGGACTGATGCGGACCAGTGACTGTACCTTCCTTCACTGTTTACTGATCCTGTGGTAAAGTGTTAATTTCCCTAATTAACCCCTTAATTATGAGTACTGTCTATCAGTTCTGTGTGGCCATTTGTGGCAGGAGCAGTTGAGGTGAGATTAGGTAAAGAAGATGGAAGGTAGAGGCATGTCTGACCTCTGCCTGTAAAATAGGGAAGCCAGAAGAGGTCAGATAAAGCTCCTCCTGCAGACCATTTTTGCAGACGCATGTAAGATATTTATTGAATAAATGACTTTTTCGTAAGCCAGGGTCACAAAGGGTTTGTGCTTGACTGCGAACCAAAAGGCTGGCAGTTCAAACTCACCCTGTGGTACTACAGAGGACAGGCCTGGTGATCTGCTTCCATTAAGATTATGGTCCAGAAAACTTCCAGGGTAGTTCTACTCTGTGTGATGGGGCGTTACCATGATGAGTTCGAAGCAACTTGACTACAAATGACAACACAAACACATGATGGTGTTTTGTTTTGCTTTTCAAATGGGGGCTAGGAGGAGTTTTTTTAATGGGGCTACAGGGAGTTGAGGCGCCCTGGTAGCATCGTGGTTACACATTGGGCTGCAATCCACATGGTCGGTAGTTGGAGACCACCAGCAGGCCCTCTGGAGAAAAACTGGGCTTTCAACTCTCATAAACAGTTAGTCTTGGAAACCCCCGCAGGCTTGCTCTTGACTCTATGGAAATGAATTTGGTTTTTTGGAGGGGGAATTTAGAGGGAGAATTTTAGTTTAAAAGCTGTGGCTGCAACATTGATGGTAAGTCTATGCTGCCCCTGGAAAGAAGCCAGGGATTTTAGCCATTTAGTTCTGAGTACCTAGAACAGGAGACGGCCTGGAAATCTTCCACTTTGGAAACTGGCCTACTGAGGCATAACTGTCTTTTGGCTTCTGCTGAAGTGAGCGATTCTAAAGACTACGTCTCTTGTCCTTGACCTCTGCACCTCACAGGCTACTTAGAGCTTTCATTAAGCCCCCCTCCCCTGTGTGTCTGAACAATGAAATGGATTAGATGCTGGTTTGGGGCACATCAAAGTATACCAGGCTGTGTGTTTTCTTTCCTTTTTTAAAAATATATAATTTAAGTGTATTTTTTGTTGAGAATATACACAGCAACACATACACCAATTCAACCGTTTCTACATGTTCTGTTTGGGGGCACTGATGACGCTCTTCAGGCTGCCATCCAGTCTCACCTCTTTCTCTGAGCTGTACCTCGCCCCTTAACGAAACCTCCTGCCCACGAAGGTTCCCATTTAATCCTTTGGGATGCTGCTGTCGATCTGATCGCACACAGATAGGTCTTACAAGAGCATAATGCTCAAGGCAGACCTTTTGTACTACTTAAGCCCGATTATGGATTGGTTTTAGAAGACGTAAGGGAATGTATTTGGTATGAATTTTAAAGAATATCTTTGGGCAACAGTTTCAGGGGGTTCATCCAGTTCCCTCGACTGTACAAAGTCTAGAGTCCATGAGAACTTGAAATTGGGTTGTACAGGCTCTTGCTTTGGATCTTCTATAACATCATGGCCAAGGAGGCAGCTGCTTCTGGGGGCAGTCAGCCACACCTCCCACTTTGTCCTCCTCTCCCTGACTCTCCTGCTCCAGATGAGAGGTCAGCTGCTGTGCTGTGCATGGCACTGCAAGCTTTGCAGACCGCAGGCACTCCACAGCGAACTAGGAGGTGGAAGAGAAGCACGACGTACAGTATTTGGCCAATAAACTGCAATGTCCCATGAAACCATGACCCTAGCACTTCAAAAAAAGGAACCAAATCCCATACATGAGTAGCCTCAAAAGCAACTCTATTGACAGTACCTACAATAACATGCTGTGCAACTCTACACTTCATGCAATTTTTCATCACCACACAGAAAAATTCAATATTCTATAATACAGCCCCTGCCCTCCCATGTGGGATATAAAAAGACTATTGCCCAGCTTGTCTCCCCCGATATATGTCAGTCCTAGGACACTGCTTGCAACGAATGGTAAATGATTGTCAAGCTATCTCCCTGAAGACACCAGCCATCCAGAGCAATCAGATTACTGTCTAGTCCCCAATAGGTGGGGCTCATACCCTACTGAAAGGATAGTGATTGTTTCCCTGGAGAGCTTAGAACAGGTCAAACCTGCTCCGTGACATCCAAAGTTAGGCTTCAGCCTGAATCTAGGATCCACCCATCTTGTCACATGTGTACCCCCAATCCCTCCCCTTCCTATTGCATGCATACCCTTAGATTTCCTTCTCATTACTGTATTACCTATAGTACAACCCCTTCTTGTGATGTATGTCTTTACCTATCATCAAGGGGCTTACGCGTTCCCAAGATATATAAGCCTTGGTTAGAAATAAATTGCTCGCTGTCCCGCCCTCTCTGCCCACACTGTATACAGACCTGGCTGTTGAGATCATGGCCATCCAGGAATTGAGCATGCTATCATAAAATATGCCTGACTCCTTCATTTTATTCTCTCTTCTATCTCTCTTATTCTCTGTGACTGCTGTGATCTTTACATATTATTGCTGTACAACTGCGCCTGCCGGGCCTGTGACGATTTGTTAGGGGCTGGCTGCCCTGACACTCCTGCCCTGCCCTCCCATCGATGGTAAACACTAAGGAACTTTGGCCTCTACACATGTGTCTGCTCTTGTTGGTTCATACAGGTGAGGTCATAGACAATATTTGTTTCTCATGATTGACTTGTTTTATACAACATAATGTCTATTCAGCTCCATCCATTTTACAGCATGGGTCAAGATTTCATTTCTTCTACTGACGGAAAAATACCTACCACATTTTGTTTGTCCATCGATGGGCATAGAGGTTGTTCACACCTCTGGGCTATTGTTTTTATAGTCTTATAACTATGGTTTTAAAAATATGTAATTAATAGGAAATAAATGAGCAAAATTCACATGGTGATAATAAGTAATCATAAGCTTATTAGTGGTCATGTTATTATTGTCCTTAAACTTTTAAATCTCGGTCCCTATCCCTAGTCCTCTGAGTGGGCAATCCGAGGCTTACTGAGCTGCTCATCAGGCAGTTACTGGATAGGAACTGAATAAATGGACACTAGCTTCTTTTCAGAAAACTACAATAGGAAACAGTATCAATTTGTATTGTTTGTTAGTAGGCCATGAAAACTCTTATTTCAAATTTCATTCTGCTTCATATTGATACTGTTTTAAGTTGTAATTATCCAAAAGGAAGCTCTACTGTCTGCTTATTTAGTGATTCAGTTGTATAACATGAAGGGGCTTCAAAACGCTTGTGATTAGTTCTGTTTTTCCATGAACTTTTTGAAGCCTCTTCATAGATAGATTTTGTACAGGAAGAAAGAATCTCATTATGACACGGCTGATTAAGGTAAATAAATGATTATTTATTGAGCACCTGCTATGTAGCAGATACTGCTACGCACTTTCATGTACCTTATTTCATTTAATCTTCTCATCATAATCCTTTACAGTATTTATTATTTTGCCCACATTTTCAAAATGAAAAATCAGTTCCAGAGAGATTAAGCAACTAGCCTGGTCATACATCTTAAAGGTAACAACAAAGATGAAATTTAACTCCTGGTCTTCCTGACTCACACACTGTGCTTTTGACTATCTGAGTCTGGCTGTCATTACCACAGAAATAGGAACATGGTCCATGTGCATTCTCTGGAGTACATCAGCAATTTCGGGTAGAATCCCACTGTATTTACACTCGAATGAGAAACACAGTCAAACAGGACACGGGTCGGATGGCAGATCCGATCTAACTAATGTAGACATCGGGAAATCACTGACCTGTTTTTCTGGTCCTAGTGCAGGCGAATCTGTTTCTAAGCACAGAGAAGTTAAAGGTAACTGTTTCACCAGTTTCTGCTTCTTGGAGGAAACAGAGATAGCGAGTAAGTTTAAAATTTGAGAAATAAAGATAAAATAAGAACATCAAATCAAATTTAAAAGAAACAGAGAAGGATGGAGGATAATAAAGATTTTTTATTATGAAATGATAAAGATAAGAGCTGAAATCATTGAAATTGACATCAGAACAAGCTATCATAGAAAACAAAAACAACACTAAACTGGTGATTGCAAAGTCGAACACGAAAAGTACTTTTGTAAAGAAAGAGCACAAATGCATAGTGCTTTTATTTACAGATGACATGATAATCTATGCAAAAAATATCTATACAATACTACCAGAATAAATGAGTTTAGCAAAGTCACTTGATAGCAAGTTCAATCTGCAAATATTAATTGTACTCCAGTATGATGGCAATGGATAGTTGGTTGTTAAAATGTAAAAAGCATCAGGGGAACAACTATGGAATTAAAATCAACAATGAGGAGGACACCTGGGGGTGTTGGAGCAACAGCAATCTAGCTGAGAGGAATTACTAAGGGGCAGAAGAAGGGCAAGTATGACGGTGGGAAAAGAGTAAGGTAAAATGAAGCAGAGGAAAGATCTAGGAAGCAAAGCTATGGATAGAGGTACAAATATAGGTGTGCATTTATGTAAACATATTAGTTCATAAAAATAGAGGTATTGGCATAGGTACATATATTTATATGGCAATACATTGAGGAAATGGATGGACTTTGGGTCTCTGCTCAAGCCCTCCCTCAACACAAAAACACTTGGTTCTAACAACCTGACCTTCATTGATTTTCACCCGCCCAGCATGATCAATGAAGACAAAATGCGCGCACAAACAAATGTGGTGAAGAAAGATGGTGATGCCCACCTATCAAAAGATATAGTATCTGGGGTCTTAAAAGCTTGAAGCTAAACAAGTGGCCATCTATCAGAGAAGCAACAAGCCCACATGGAAGAAGCACATCACCCTGTACGATCATAAGGTGTGGATGGGGTTGGGTAACAGGCATCAGAAGACCCCAAACAAACAAACATTGTTGAGAATGCGGGGTGGGGGTGGGGGGGTCAGAGCAGAGACTCCAAACCCATCTGTAGACAATGTGACTTCCCCTCACAGAAGGGTCGCAAGGAAGGGATGAGTCAACCAGGGTGAAGTACAGCACCTATGAAACGTACAATATTCCTCTGACTCCTTGAGGTCCCCTCATCCCCCGCTATCATGGCCCCAATCATGCATTTCACTGCAGGCTAGACCGGAGCCTGCACACAGGTCCAGATAAGAGCTCAGGACACATGGGATTCAGTCAAATAAACCCCTGAGGAACAGAAATGGGAGTAGTGATACCAGGAAGGTAGGGGGAAGGTGAGGAGAGGAGGGGAGAAGAAACTTCAGGGGGAAAAAAAAGGAAACTACAGGGGAAGGGAGACAGAAATTGGTGTAAGATATGAAAATAATAACTTATAATTTATCAAGGGGTCACTAGAGTGGGAGGTGGGGAGGAAGGGCAAAAAGAAGAGCTCAATACCAAGGGCTCAAATAGAATGTAAATGCTTAGAATATAATGATGGCAACATATGTACAAATATGCTTGATACAATTGATGTATGGATTATTATAAGAGCTGTAAGAGCTCCCAATAAAGTGATCTTAAAAAAAAAAATTAAAAAGCAATATCATTTGCAATAGCTCCACTGATATCATACTAAATGATACAATTAACCACATATATATGATTTCTGTGCTGAAAACTATTAAAAATTGATAAGAAACCAAATAAAATCTAAATAAATGGAGAAATATACTACATGTACCAAATTCTCCCCAAATTGCTATAGAGTTTCAAAGCACTCTCAATCAAATCTCAATGAACCACTTTAGTTTTAAAAATCATCAAGCTGATTCTAGTCATTATGTGGAAAAATAATGGATCTAGAATAGCCAAATTAACTATGAAAATGAAGAACTAAGTTGGGGGACTCATGCTCTCTGCTTTTAAAACTTACTATAAATCCCCCTCCACCAGAAGAATTTATTTCAGAGGATGGCACTGAATCTGCAGCTCCAGGAGAGGGACATATATGTGATCGGAGCACGTGGGAGCAGATGAAGGGGGGGGGCGGAGAGAGTGGAGCACATCCTGGCCCACCAGGCCTTGAGGATGATATTCCCGTTCAGAGCAGCCAGTCCACAGAAAGGACCACATGGCCAGCCCCACTATGAGACATGACATCCCTCACTGACCCATAGCCCTGCGGGGGACAACACCCGAGACACAGTGTGGGAATTATGCCTGATCTGATCCCGCCACACCGAGGCAAAACACTAAGCGGGTACAACAGAACAGCAAGGAAACAGAGCAGCGAGGTCCCCAGGGAATGCTGCAGGTGGACTTTGGGGCCAGGGCATGGTGCCCCAACAGACTGGACTGGAAAACACTCCTAAAGGCCAACAAACAGTCCTTGAACTAACTACAAGCTTTTTGTTTTGTTTTATTTTTTTTTGTCATTGGTTTGTTGTTGTTGTTGTATATTGTTGCTTAGTTTTGCTCTGTCTTGTTTTTGTGCATGTTATTATCTCCGCAGGTCTGTCTAAATAAGATAGGCTGGATGAACAATCTGGAGGAGAAAACAACGGGACCGACAGTTCTGGGGGGACATGGGAGACTGGGAGGTGGAAGAAAAGGAAGTGGTGTTAACAAACCCAGGGACAAGGGAACAAGTGATCCAAATCGGTGGTGAGGAGGGTGTGGGAGGCCTGGTAGGGCATGATCAAGGGTAATGTAACAAAGAGGAATTGCTGAAACCCTGGTGGGGACTGAGCATGATAGTGGAACAAGAGGAAAGTCAAAGGAAATAGAGGAAAGAGCTCAGAGGCAAAGGGCATTTATAGAGGTCTAACTAAAGGCATGTACATATGCAAATATATTGATATATGAGGATGGGGAAATAGATCTTTGTGCATATATTCATAGGTTTAGTATTAAGGTAGCAGAAGGACACCCAAGTACTTCCTCAATGCAAGAATACTTTCTTCTATTAAATTGGCATTTTATGCTCACCTTCCCGACATAACCGTTGAAGACAAAGCGGGTGAATAAGCAAATGTGGTGAAGAAAGCTGATTGTGCCCGCTATCAAAAGATATAGCATTTGTGGTTTTAAAGTAAGGTGACCAGATGTACCGCTTTTGGTACAGTCCCGATTTTTAACAATTTGTCCCGTGTCCCATGGCATTTTTAAAAAGTCCTGATTTTTGGAAAGAATACACGACAAGCTAGGGTATACGGTTTTCAGCTGCCATATGGCTATTTTGCCAGGATATGAGTTTTATCAATAGTGTCCCACTGGTGTCCCGCTTTACCAATGTTAAAATCTGGTCACCTTATCTTTAAGGCTTGAAGGTAAACAAGCGGCCAACTAGCTCAGAAGCAACAAAGCCCACATGGAAGAAGCACACCAGCCTGTGTCATCATGAGGTGTCAATAGGATCAGGTATCAGGCATCAAAGGCCCAGAACAAAAAATCATATCATTGTGAATGAGGGGGAGTGTGGAGTGGAGACCCAAAGCTCATCTGTAGGCAAATGGACATCCTCTTACAGAAGGGTCACCCCTTACAGAAGGTTCATGGGGAGGAGATGAGCCAGTCAGGGTCCAGTATAACACCGATAAAACATACAATTTTCCTCTAGGTCTATTGGTTTTTTAATGTTGAAATTTAAGAGTTATTTATCTATTCTGAATATTTGCTTCTTCCTATACATAGTAAGGAACCCTGGTGATGTAATGGGTAAGCATTAGGCTGCAAAACACAGGTCAGCAGTTTGAAACCACCTGCGGCTAATCGGGACAGTGACACGCTTCCCACTCTGAGTGTAAGGAGTTAGTCTCCGAAACTCACAGGGGCAGTTCTGCCTTGAGCTACAGGGGCTCTGTGCGATGGCCTCGGCTCAATGGCAGTGAGTGAGATGGCAGTGAGCTACATCCTATCTGCCCATCTTTCTCCTGTTCTGGGCATTATGTTTTTGCTCCTTTGGTGGTATTTGTTGGAGCATAAAGGTTTTTAATTTTTGTGATGTCCTGTTCACCTATTTTGGGATTGGGAGACGCCTGTGCTTTTGGTGTCAAATCTAAGAAACTACTTCACGGTCGAGCTTTATGGCTTTGAATTTTACACTTAGGTCTTTGATCCATTTTCTACCTATGTAGTGGGCACGTAAGATTCACTTTTGTAATGTAACAAGAATACTATCACACATATATAATGCATGCGTATATTCTAAGGCAATGTAACAAAATATCAAATGAGGTTAAATGGAAGAACTTACCTGTCCGCTTCTTATGATGGAAGGAGGAACTGAGAAGAAGTATCCAGCTCTGACGCCGTCCATGGCCACAGCTGGTCGACCGTCAAATGCATGTAGCAGCACTTTGTCAGCACCTCCCAGAAATGAGAGTGAAATCAGAGGGTCTCACCTTATTTGGCTAACCGAGATTTTTGTATTAATCAAACTGAACAACAAAGACCAGTGATTTTAAGAATATTTGGGCCATTAGAAAAATAAGGATCTTTATAAATGTAGACTGTCCAAACAGTAAATTAAAACTGTATGTAGTAGATTCTTAATCTTTAGAATAAAATGATTAAAGAAAATGGAGACACAAATGTTTAGACAATTATTTAAACATCCTGTCCTATCAAACTCTTCTAGAACTAGTGAGCTGTCCAAAATATTGGCCCTAAAAGGAGATTTTTAAGTAGTCAAACAGACTTTCCAAACAGAAATGCTAGTGAAAGAAGAACGAGGAGAGTTAAATGACACACAGACTCAATAGAGTTGGCTTCACAAAACCACCTCTATCTCGTTAAGCTGCTTGGCCTGCGTAAAAATCATGCTTTCTGTGATTCCAGAAAAGTTCAGTTCTCATGACTGAACAGCACAATGTTTTCTGCCTGCAGGCATTTGCGTTGCCTTCACTATTTCGATGGGGTTTTACAAAGAGGAGGTATGATCATTAATTGGTTACGACCATAAGCAAGTTCATGGGTTGTAATCAGTGTATATTTGGGTGTGTGCACATAAATGTATGAACACGCATATGTACATACACATATATGCGCTGCTTGTTAAACCTCTGTCGGGTTTTTATGTGCAAACAGTGAGTCTCAAAATAAAATATCTTTCTTATGGGTAGCACTGAAGACAATGTTTTAAGCTAATTTTTGCTTTAGGGACAGTAAAATATTGTTTTGCTTTAGGAAAATGAAAGTGCATTTCATATATGAGGGCCACAATCTATGTAGTACAATTTTCTGAAGCATCAACCAGAAAACATGGCCTTCTTTGCCTTGTATCTTCCAATCCCCCATTTAATCAATCAGCTGGCTAAGTGGATTTGCAAATTACAGCTATAAAATGTTTAATTAAGGAGCATAATTTAGCTGATCTAGTTTTTCATTTACTCTCACCTAGCTTGATAACTATCATAATCACACCAGAAATCTTGGCAACAAGGACCCGACTTGCAAACTCAACTTAGTTGATTCCCATTGCCACCCTTGCCCCATTCCTTTCCCCTTAAGGAAACTAATGAAAACCTGGCACAGACCAGGAGAATGTGACCTGAAGTGTGATAGTGAAGCCGCTTTTCCCTCAGAAACCCAAATACCTTGCTCAAGTAAGAGGTTGATAGTGGGCCTTCCAGCTGAGCGTGAGTGGACATTTCTATTAACAAATGAAACAAAATTCCTTTTGAGTGCTTCGGTCTGGAAATAGTTCAGTAAAACCTAAGAGAGCCAGAACCTGTGCGAGGCAGAAACCTGCCAGACATGAACATGCAAATACGTCCCGCTACCAGGGAGCCACAGACACGTGGTGAGACAGCACCGTCAAGGGCAGAAAACTCGAGAGACCAAGACCACAAGGCTGGCCTGATGAGTTCAGCTCGGACACATCTCACTGCAGCTCTGCTCTCCGAATGTGGTTCAGAGAACAGGAAAAGCCGAGCTCCATTTGAGGGGGAGCTCTTTGATTGTGATTTAATGTGCTCTACAGAAATTCACACAGAAAGATGATTAATGAACCTACAGAGGCAAATTTAGTCTTTTGGCTAATTGGACCTGTCTGATTAGAACTTGTCTTTGTTGTTCCTTCTGTTCATCAGTGCTGGCAAATCGGGGGGAGAAATCTAATCCGACCTGTAACAGGAGAAAAAAGAAAAACAACTCAAAAGAGATGCTATGGATCAGTGATGACAACAGAAATAGAACGTGAGTGCCATGCAAGAGAGAGGCTTCAAAAAGTACCTGGGGAGAGCCCATTATTTCTAATGCCACTTCTATGTAATTTTGAGCTCTCTTCATATATAACTTTACATTTTCTATGAAGTACTTTGAGTAGTCACTCTACTCAAGTTCAATGCTTACCCACAGTGACACAGAGGCATTAAGAACATTTTAACAGGAGGTGAAATTATCTTTAATAATATATTTCATTTAATACTGATTTCAACATTACTCAAGATAAAAACTTATGACTTATAATGTGTGTGTGGTGTGCTATGGGTTAGACACTGATTGGGCTGCTAACTGCTAAGGTTGATGGTTGAAACCCACCAGCTGCTCCTCAGGAGATAGATGAGGCTGTCTACTCTGTATTTATAATCTACAGTCTGAATCCAAGTGCTATTTGTATCTTTATCTTTAACTAGAAACAGAATTTGATACCAAGTAATTAAAACAGATCACACCCTTTAAAATCTAATGTTTTAAAAGTTTAATTACAAACTATTTAAAAGCATCCCTGGTGATGCACTCAGCCACGTACCCAGCTGCCAGCCACAAAGCTGACAGCTCACTCTGACCCAGAGGTGCCTCAGAAGAAAGGTCTGGCAATCATTTTCTCTAAAAGGTCAACAGCTTTAAAAAACCCTACAGAGTGTAATTCTATTCTGCAGCACGGGGTCACGATGAGTGGGAATCTACTCAATGCCAACTGGCTAGTCACTGGTGGTCTATTTAAAATGTGCTGTTACATTATTTACAAAAATCTGCAAATGCTCTATTAATCAGAAAGACAACACCCATTTAAAGTCTCAAAAGCACAGTCAACCCTCATCCTTGCAAGTTCCTGCCTGTAAATTTGTATGTGCACTGGATTTCTTTGTAACCCCCAAATCAATGCTTGCAGAGATTTTTTTTCTTTTTGCAGCCCCGCCCAGAACAGTGGGCCGCTTGTGTCCCCTAAGTGCACTTTGTCAGCTGAAGCTGAACAAGGAGACACTGTAGCTCCTTGCTTCAGCTCTCAGAATATAAACACGTGTCCTTTTCAGTCTATGTCAAGCTACAGGCTCTTGCATTTTTTGTGCTTTTTGTTGGTGATGCTGGAGAAAGTACATGGCTGAGAACAATGGCTGTAAAAACTAAATGACCCAAGGAAGCGACAAAATACGAGAAACCACAGGTGCAGACACAATGGCTGGAGGGGAGCCCAGCAGACACTCACAGGGGCAGGACAGGCAACATGACATCGTAGATAGCTGGTGAGACCTTTCAAGCCTACAACTCAGTTCTTTTTCAGATCACAAAAGCCTGGATTCATTTGGCTTAAGAGGCAAGGATAGCAAGGGCGCTCAGGACCACTCAAACTACCCCCATGCGCCCAAGCCCACTCACTGCCGTTGAGTCGATTCTCAGTGATGCTATAATGTGGAGCAGAACTGCCTCTGTGGGTTTCTGAGGCTGTCACTCTTTATGGGAGTAGAAAGACTCACCTTTCTCCAGAGTAGCTGGTGGTTTTGAACTGCTGACCTTGTGGTTAGTAGTACAATATGTAACCCATTACACCACCACGGGTCGTGATCTAAAATGGTCAGTAACCTGGGATTCAAACTAAGACTAAAGGAGTTGTGTGCATGCCCAGTTAGTTATGCTAAGTATCCCAGGTGCCCTTGCTCCAGATTCCATTTTGAATTTCCAGACTCCAGCTTGGCCCAAGGTTGTGTGCACAAGCACTGCAAACAGGACCCAGGAGAGAGCTTTGAACACTGTCTGCCCCAAGGAACACATATTGATTCCTGAGGAGAACAGCCATACGAAACCACGTACTCTGTACGTTTGGAGCGACGTTGTTGCCTATAGCATGTCTGCCCTGTGGCAGTGGAACTCACCAGTCTGTGTGTGAGACCCCTCCATAGGGTATTTGTCTGCTCATGAGATGACAACCTGGTGGACAGCAGTGTTATGGTCACTATTACCCAGAGTTGAGAAAAACCTTAACCCCTCCTGAGCTAGTGGGGGTTGGCTTGCACGTTTCAGAAATGAGGTGGCATAAAAATGGTTCAATTTGCTCAGGGTTAGGCAAGGCAGGTGCTGCAGAGGAGAGAACTACAGATTCTCAAGAATGCCTGCTAAGTGTTCTATAGGCACAGGGGTATGTGGGAAAGCACCTAGTTTTCAATGTCCCACCCACCTCCCCCTGGATGTTCGTGAGGCACGTCAAGGTCAAGAGGTCACCCAGTGCAGTGCTGTCACATATCCTGCAGTGATGTCAAAAAGTAAGCTTTTGTTGAATATTTTAAACACTTTAACTACTTTATCTCTTATTTAAGCCCCCCCCCATACAATATTGTCTTGCTTCACATTACTGTAGTATACCAAAAGTGTTGTGACCAGAGACCCATGGACACCGAACTCCCTGTTCTCCTAGAGGGGGTTCTCACGGCCATCGTGCCCATTCTGATTCATAGGCATCCACAAGCACAGGGGAGACCTGCCCTTCTGGGTTTACAAGACTAAATCTTTAAGGGAGTAGAGCAGTGAAGGTTCTCAACCTTCCTAATGCCGTGGCCTTTAATACAGGTCCTCATGTTGCGGTGATCCCCAACCATAAAATTATTTTCATTGCTACTTCATAACTATAATTTTGCTACTATTATGAATCAGGTGACCCCTGTAAAAGGGTCGTTAGACCCCCAAAGGGGTCTTGATCCACAGGTTGAGAATCGCTGGAGTAGAAGCTCATCTTTCTCCCATGGTGGTTTTGAACAGCTGAGCTGGCAGTTAGCAGTCTAATGTGCAACCCATTCAGTGACTGGGAGTCCTCTTGGGCAATGGCTCAACATTCAGTAATCCGGAGCTTGAGGAGACCACCATGAAGAGTGTGAACTGACTGCTTGATGGTGGTCACTGGACAACGCTAGTTAGGCAGTTTTCTGCCATAACTGAACCTGTGAGAGTATCAGTAAATCACTCGGCTGAATGGTAAGCATAAGCACCAATACTGAACCAAAAGATTACTTTCATCTGTCACATTTTGGCCTGGATGAGAAGTCATGATCCACTAAGTGGGTATCTATTTACCTCTCCAACTGCCAACAGCTGATCCTTGTAATTCTCAATAACGGGCAATGCCTCATCCAAATCCTGAAAGCAAGCAAGCATATTGTTCAAATGGGAGGAAAAGCGACCTGGTAGTTTGTGAACACCTCTTAGAGGCCAGCACTCTGCTCTGTTCGCATTTTACACGTTTATCCTGTAACCACGCTGGAAAGGAGGGACAGTAATCCTTCTGTAATGGTGAGAGCCTCTACCTGGGAATCTGGGTAGAGACACATGCCAACTCTCTCAGGTTTCAAGGGTAGGACTTTCCTGGAATTTGAGGGGACTGCTTTAGGTTTCCTAGAATCGCTGAGCACTAGCAAGAAGGGCCCTGAAGTGGCTGCTGCCTTTGTAGGTGAGTGTTTGGGAGGAGATTTTACAGGCAAACCTCAGAGAGAGGAGGCCAGGCCTTAGGCACACATTCTAGTGACCTTAAAGAAGGTCATCAGAATATACTGCTGGGTATCAGAGCAGCTGTTTAAGGTGGAGCACATTAAACAGGGCCAGACAGAGCTTTTTAATAGGAAGGATCCTAGCTATTCTGTGTCCCTGGGATGTCAAAGGATTGAGGGAAGTACAAGGCAGCACCTGGGAGATGTAGATGTTTACAAAGTCTTAATGAGAAAGAAATAACATGTCTGCATGAAGACCAGACATAGGAAGCAACAAGCCTCTTAGAATATATGATATCTATGAAATCAGTACAACAAAGTTACTGAGACTGTTAAAACTCCTAATGAAGTAGCTCTGAACATTTCTGGCTATTCAAGTATGGCATACAGAAATGAATATTCCCAAACCAAATGCCGTCGTGTGGATTCCGACTCATGGCGCCCTAAAGGACAGAGTGGAATTGACCCATAATTTTCCAAGGCTGGGTAGCTTTATGGAAACAGGCTACCACAGCTTTCTCCTCGGGAGTAGCTGGTGGATTTGAACAACTAACCTTTTGATTAGCAGCCAAGTGTTTATCCAACTTCACCTATAATGTCTCAAGATCCATAACAGGCAATGGTCCCATCATGGCAGTTTTCAGATCCTGCCCCATATGATTGTGGGTATTGCCACTACTACTACCACTACTACTGCTACTACAACTATTACTGCTGCTGCTACTCTGACGACAATGACTATGATGATTACAACTACTTTACTGCTTTTGGTCCACAAATGAGGAACTTGAGACTTGGCCAAGGTAAGTAAGTTGTCACAGATCAGAGAAGCCAGCAGGTCAGGTATCTCTGACTTCACAGCCGAAGCTGCTCCCACCACACTGCTGCAAGAAGGAAGTGTGAAGAAAAAGGAAGGAAACTGCAGACAGGAGATTTATTCTGAATTTAAATAATTACAATGGCTTTTTCATTAGAGAAAAGAGTCTTCAGAACCTTTGAAACGAGTGTGTAACAAAAATAAGTGAAGTGGGTCTAGAAGGACAGTGGTAAACTGGAGTGTAGTGTGCTATCTGCAGGGGGCAGGAGGCTATAGTTGGTGGGTTTGAACTGCTGACCTTGAAGTTGGCATTCCACTTATGCAACAGCCGAAGGAACATTCTCAGTGAGCTAGAACAACACTGTGGTTGTGGCAATGGGCTCATATAACAATGATAAGAACAGCATTCTTTCTCTTTCTCATTGCCATCAAGTCCATGCTGACTCAGCGACCCCTGTGGGTTTGTCAGCCTGTTTATGGGAGTAGAAAGCCGGCTATTTCTCCTGTAGAGTTGCTGGTGGGGGGGTAGTGGTTACATGTTATAGGCGATCTGCATGGTCCGGCAATTCGAAACCACCAGTAGCTCAGAGGGAGAGCGCCTGGGCTTTCTACTTCTGTAAACAGTTACAGTCTGGGAAACCCACAGGGTTGCTATGAGTCAGCATCCACTCCATGGCAGCAAGATTTATGCAACAGCGCCACCAGGATGCCTTATAGAGATGAAAGCTCACTGCAGTGAAGTCCATTTAGACCCATAATGAGGGAGCGTCACAAAATTCATTAAACAATCATTATTTTTAATTCCTTTGTCTACAAACTTTGGTATTGTTGATACTGTTAAGGAGACCTGGGGGTGTGGTGAGTTATGCACTGGGCTGCTAACTGCACGGTCAGCAGTAGGAACCCACTAGCCCCTTTGTGGGAGGAAGGCGAGGCTTTCAGCCTCAGAAACCCAGAGGCACTTGACCTGTAGGGTGGCTGTAAGTCAAAATTGACTCGATGGCAGCGAGCTTTGTTTGGGTTTATAAGCTAAACCATCCTATCAGTTCTACATTCAAAACCATATGGCAAATCCACCTACTTCTCTCTACCTGTCCTGCTATCCCTCCAGTCCAAACTAATCTCCCACATGGACTTTCACAATACACCTGGGGACTTGATCATCTGTTCTTCTAGATAACCTCTCACTCCCCCCCCACCCTGCACCCAAACATGGTCTTCAAATAGTTTATGGGAAAATGGAAAAGGTAGTTAAATTTGTCCCTGAACTTCTTGTAGCCCCCTTATGTCACCATGACAAACAATGTGAAAGAAAAAAAAAAATCACTGATCATTCCATCAGATCATCACAGGTGATCATTTCCACTATAATTTTCGTTTCTGTCCTCCCTTCCTTATAGAACATATTGTACATGGCTGTCGCTCACACAGAATAAATAAGCCATTTGGTTTCCTGCTCTTCTCTATTATACTGTACACATTTCCCAAGTGGCCACATAAACTTTGCAATGTTGATTTCAATAACTGCAGTATATTTAACAACAGATAGGCTAATTAATTACTCCATTATTTCGGACTCTTTAGGCCCTCTCTGTAAAAGAAAGACGGGTTTTTCTGCTCCTGTAAAGATTTAGTCTCTGAAACCCATAGGGGTTTGTGCTCTGTCCTATAGTGTCCACATGACTCACAATTGGCTCGATGGCAGTGAATCTGGTGGTTTGGGGTATTGGTTCCTTTTATTGGGGGGGGGAAGAGGGTGTCTTTCTACTTTTTCTTTATTACAAATAATGTTGCAACAAACATCTTTGTGAAAGAGAAGAGTGCTTCCCCTTTTTGGATAATTTCCTTAGATGAAATTAGAAAAAAGATGGCCAAGTCAAAGGCATGATCATGGTTCATGGCCCTTCGTGTATGTTACTGCTACCTTTAACGTGACACTTCTTTGGTCTTCTGGTGGCAGCCCTTGAACTGGGTGAACCCCTAGGCATGGCAGGACAAATCCGCTGTACCTAAGACGTGGGATGAAGCAAGGAAGCAGAGGCAGGACATTGGTAAATCACAAGGTGACTCTGAAGAACAAGTAGAATCTCTTTTTAAAGATACGCTCATGTGACTCTTCCTTCCCATTCTCTTTAAGAGGGGTGATCTTTGATATTACACTGTTACACTGCATAAAAGCAACTTTTAAACATCGTCATGAGAAGTAAGCACCTTTCTGAAAGCCGTATAATCTTTTCAAATTCTCCAGAATGCTCAGCAACTGCCACGAGGGCCATAACGTTGGCCTGAAACCAAAGAGAACAGAAGAGTTAAGTTCCAAATAATACATATATGTGATATCATTAAATAACACTTTCATGTCTTTGTGCATGTTAGTTATCCTTGTTCACCACGCTGCATTGATTGATATACAGGCAGTTGTCAGAATGAAATTCATTTCCACATTTGTCTTCAAGGCCATTGTCTTCAATCTGTCTGTCAGTTGGAACAGATGCACATGATCCTTACTTAGCCTTACTTCATGCAAGAGAAGGCTTTAAAAGATGTACAAGGTGCATGTGCAACAAGTGAAGGTGATTGTATACACACTTTATTACAAGTAAAGGTTGACTCCATTACTTTCAAAGTGAGGACAAATTTGCATAATATTAAAGGGCAAGTAGGAGTTGTCCCTGCCAGACACTCACAACCTGAGGACTTACTGTATTAAGAAATAATGAGTGCTGGGTTGCCACAAGGTCATTTCCCAAACCCAAGCCATCTCAGCTAGCTACCCTATTCACTACCCTCAATCCAGATGAATGCGATATATTTCTGGAGACCCAGGGGCTCAACTCAAGTGGCTGGCCAGGAAGATCCCCGCTTAAACGACGATCTGCTTCAGTATGACAACTCCAACTACCAAGTGCTTATCGAAGATCCAGCCGTGGCTCCTTGGACCTTGTGAGCTCAGCATACATACCGAACATAATTTCTGGCCCATTCTCAAGACCTCACTCCTAGTAGCTGTGCTTGGCATTAGATCCTGGTGTTCTGGTATTACATTCTCAAAACGAGAGGAATAGGAGAGGAAAAGTCATTCAGGAAGGAAAATTGGATCCAACATTTAACATCTCATAATGTTTGGCTATAATGAATGACTATACGTATTCTTTTTTTATTTTCTTCAATAGTTGTATTGAGATATAATTCATATATCATATACTTCCATAGTTCAGTTGTATTTAAAGAGTTGTATATACATCACTACAGTCGGTTCTAGAACATCGTCCTGCCTCCTGAATTCACTATTTGCTCCTCATTTCCTCCAAACAACTATATGTATTTTTGTTTAATTAAATATTCTATTAATCATTAAAAAATAATAATGAGTACTAAGTAGGTTTCAGACTCAGTGAATGTGTTATCTCGTTTAATCTACACAACCACCCTAAGAGGAGTGTCTTAAAGTGGTAGCATCTGAAGTCCTTCAGCTTCATCAGGGAGAATTGCCATCAGTCAAATGCTGATTACTGTCAAGTGGAGGTCAGACATACCCGGGGCATCAAAAAGTTAGTGGAAAGATTCTAAATTTTTCACAATTTTTTTTTCTTTCAGTCTCCCTCGTAACTCCATCCTCAAACTTTTGTACTAATGCTGATACCAGTTTTCCCTACCGTGCCATCTACTCCTTTGCTGGACTCAATAACACATCGTAATAGCCACACACAGCTCACAGACCAGAGTCACCATTATATGGTAATTAGGGAAGTAACAGGCTACAACTCAGGTCCAGGATCAAGTCGGAAGTAACAGAAACAACTCCGGAGATAGGATACAGTTTGTTAATTAGGGTAGCTTCTAAATAAGCTAGCACTCAGCTTCTTGTGGTAAGCCATGGCTGTAGGCAGCCAGGCCTTGCTCTGGGTCATGCTCACAGCCAACAAGTGTCGACAGTTCTTCAGTTCTGCTGATAGTGCCTGGAGGCACCTCATTCTGCCAGGATACGGCCCACCTGCTGAAGGTATTCAGTTCTCTCATCCCATGGGTCAACAACTCAACGCCATTGCTTTGCTGTGGGCCAGGAACTCCCCAGGTGGGCATCTTACCCTGGTCTCCAGGTTGTTACCACTGACGTTGTGCTACAGCTCCCTCTGTCTTCTGGGTCTAGGAAATGCTCAGCACAGGGACCCTGGCTCCAAACAACCTATTCCACTCCTGGCTCTTCATAATAGTTCCCCTCAACCTCTCTAGGGCTGGCTAGTTTAAGCCTAGAGGGAGGGCAAAATTGGCTTCAGAATACAACAGCCCCCTGTCTGCATAGTAAGTGAACAATCTCTGCAGGGGTTTTACGCACCTTCTTCTCACAGTGGACTAACCAATTAGTGATCTAGCACATCATCCTAGTAGGACCAAACATAGGGCTGCTAAGGCCACATATAAAGAGAAACCGATTGCCCTACAAGTAGGCATTTCCAGAATTCATTTTCTAGAAAAAAAGCCACATTTTGGAAGAGGCCATATAACTCATGTAACTAAGGACATTAAGCTGGTGTAACTGCAAGGTTCCTGCTTCTATATAAATGTATAGACCAGTGGCTCTCAACCTGTGAGTTGCAACCTCTTGGGAGTCAAACGACGCTTTCACAGGGGTCACCCGATTCGTAACAGTAGCAAAATTACAGTTATGAAGTAGCAACGAAAATAATTGTATGGTTGGGGTCATCACAACATGAGGAACTGTATTAAGGGGTCGCAGCATAAGGAAGGTTGAGAACCACTGGTGTAGACCTATGTGCTGGCAACCACTCTTGGATTTACCACTTTATGAGAAAACAAGAAGTACTAATGAAAAGTCATTTCATGACTTTTTCTCAAAGAAAGCGTTCAGAAAACATACTTTCTCTAAGATCCCCAGAAGAATATGCTCCATTTATCCAAGATGTCCAGACGAACCAGTCTATGCACAGTGGCTGAAAGCATCCCATTTAGATCCCAACTACATTATCTCCATCACTTTGCTAGTGGTGTCTCTTTGGACTACTTACTGATTTTGAGGCTTAGGTTTTCTTAAGGAGAAAACGGGACTGCCGATTATACAGTACAACATCCTCAGAAGGTTGTTGTGCAACGCAAGAGCTTAGCCTAATGTTTGGCACACTGCAAACACGCCATACATACCACTTAAGAACTGCTGACGAAAGCTTAGCCAGGTATCTCTAAATATTGATCTCCTTTAGTAAAAGCAAACAAACACAATTAAGCAACTATAGATCTTGACTTACTTTCTTGGCTTTCTCCAACACATCGTCCAGATCCTAAAATAATCATAGGTAATCACAATTAGTTTAGGTGAATGCATACCTGTTCCTTCTCGATGTGTATCAGTGCAAATAAAGTGCCATACAGAAGGACCATGATAGCAAGGGGTAAGATCATGGGAAAAAGAACATTCTATACAGATCCATTCTGGTTTACTATTTCATCTTCATAAAACCTGGCTTCTGTTCCCACTCCACTAAAACAAAAACTACTGTAAAGTATAAAGGACCTGTGACTGTACTCTCTTACTTCACCCTCCAGCAACATTTGGGACCTACTTGCCCACTCCTTCTTTCTTGAAATATTTCCCTATATTTTAGCATTGACAATGACCTTATAACCCCAATCTTCTGAGAAAGTAGATGCATTAACTAATGGAATACTCAGACTAGCCAGATTGTCATCATTTTAAAGTACTCCCATTGGCCTTCTTGTCTACACCACTTGGAAAACATCATCTGACTACTTATGAGAGTTACCAGGCAGCCTATGCCTTAGCATATTGTGGGCAACTCTGTGCCAGTATAGGGACACAATGGTAGGGTTAATGCCATAGTCTACCAAACAGGTAGAAGGAGCCTCTGAAGATACCAACACGTGACAACCTTAAACTCGGTGACTTGAAACACTTCAACGCAAGGCCGTTTCAGAAGCATATGGAAAGGGTGCTATTTGATTCTCCTTACTACACACAAGGCCGCGCCAACCCACGGCTTTGTATTTCACAGCTAAAAAGAGCTCCAGTCGCATTCATGAACCTGTCAACATCTCTTGGATCTTGGGGTGAAACACTACTGGGATAAGATCAATTCTCAAAAGCAGATACCCCTCAGGTAGACTGTGTAATCCAAGACCCACAGAAAAAGCAGAAGACTGCGTGATGTGTACAGCTTCCACCCAACATTGTGGGTCATAATCATATATAAATACTTTTATTTAATCGTACTGACTTTGGGAAGCACCTATAAGGGAGCCCTGGTGGCATCGCGGTTCTGCTTTGGGTTGCTCACTGAATGGTCAGCAGTTCAAAAATACCAGCCACTCCGAGGCAGGAGAAAGACAAAGATTTCCGCTTCGGTAAAGAGTTACAGTCTCAGAAACCCAGAGACACCCTGTCCTATAGGGTCACTATGATTCAGAATTGATCTGATGGCAGGGAGTGAGATCAAGAATAGACAGTCTTTGTCCTTGTTCAAATAGCTAATAGCACTAATTATTAGGCTTGTGCTCATTTTCCCACAAGCTGTCAAACTGGAATACCCTTCATCATGATTCCCTTAACTCACTTGGATTTAGCTATGCCAACTAACATTAGAAATACTTAAGCAGATCTATTTCGTTTCAGGAATGGCACTAGCCTTTATCTCAAAAGCCTCAGAGATTGGGATTATTATGATGTGGCAAATTTTAACTAGAGGAAGTTGGTGTTTCACTTGGAACCAATAAAATAGACAGCCACTAGTCAACAGCATTGGTTTGGGCTCTTTGTGGGAGAAGTATTTTTATTTTCATGAAACTCAGATCCAATGTAATGGTGAAACTTCCTTTGGAACACTATATCCCAATTCTCAAGAGACCTTTTGCCTCTAACCCAGAGGTTCTCAACTTGTGGGTCGTGATCCCTTTGGGGGGTCGAATGACCCTTTCACAGGGGTCGCCCGGATTCATAACAGTAAAAAAACTACAGTGATGAAGTAACAATGAAAATAACTTTATGGTTGGGGGTCACCACAACACGAGGAACTGTATTAAAGGGTCACGGCATGAGGAAGGTTGAGAACCACTGCTCTAACCAGAACCTGTTCCCATGTGTTAAATACCTCGCAAAGGAAACTGCTGAATGGCATCAAGAGTTTTCACTAGTTAATGATGGGTATGGTGGCCTTTTTGGGGGTGTTTATTCTCAGCTGGCTTTACAAGCTACTGTGCTATCGTGCCTGCTGCTAGAAGTAACAGGTTGACAATGACTATGCCTTAAAAGGCACCATTTGGTCTGTGGCTGACAGGTTCCCAGAACTGCACCTGCAAATTAGACCATTTTTTCCTACATAGCTTGTGGTATTCCATCTCTGTATAATTTATCCAAAGGGAAAACTGGAAATATGACAGAGATACACAATGTAGAAATGAGAATAAATTATCACCCAGCTGGACGCAGCACTAGATGGAAGTTGGGAAGCAACTCGAAATGAAAGCAAACTTTGAGGGCGCTCAGTTACAACTCTGCCTGTCTCAAGAGCTGAAATTGCTTGCAGTAGCACTGAGTGCATGACCCAAAGGGAGAAAGTTGTTAAAAACAGAGAAACTGAGGACCAAGTTGTCGGATTCCTCTTAGTGGACAGGGAATTTCACAAAGGTCACTGACAGCTGTGGAATGTATCCAAGAACAGATAAACAGAAATATAAGATACAGTATATATTGTGATGAGTTATATGAGTCTCCAATAGTAGAGGCACAGTGACCGCATTATTTTTTTTGTCACACAAATCTCTCCTTGTGCTAAGACATGCATTTGCCATAAACTTTAAGTTTAGCTTGTGCAAAAAATCCAAGATAAATGTCATGCCAAAGGTTAACCAATGTCTATTTTCCATTCTGAATTTCCTCGTTTCTCCTTAAAAAGTGTTATTATCTTCAGGTGAGCCTTCCTGTTTCTCTGAATAGAAAGGTCTCCCTGAAAACATATGGATTAAATGCTCAAATAAGCATTAGATGCTTTAATTCCTTTTATGCCTCAATTATTTTTGTCCCATCCAACTCTTTACACACTCTAGAGTCAATTTCTTTCACACACACACACACACACACACACACACACACACACACACACACACACACACACACTCCTGCTACCACCATCATGTCACAATCATCTTCTTGCCTGTGCACTGCAAAAGGCCGAACTGGTCTAGCTTCCACACTTGCTCTCCTGTGTCCATCTAGTACACAGCAGCACAAGTGTCTTAAAGCAAAAAGATCTCGTTGTTGCCCGTAAAAAGCAAGACCAAACAAAACCCTTTTTAGTATTTGCAATAGGCATCTAATGACATCCAAATGCCTTACTAACCCACGTTGTCTATCTCTTGCAACTCCCTCCAGGCTTCTCTTAAGCCTCCCTTCTTGAGAGTTTTGATTCTAAAATAGGATCCCGCTCTTCTTTATGTATTATTTAGTTTCCATCGTAGTTAGCAAGAGAGTCTGTAATTCGAATTCTATGTGTGTTTTGCTCTTTCTGTTTGCTTTTCTCTCCCATTGCACCCGGTGCAGGAGGCATGAACACTGCAGCCACAAAAGGTCTCGTGTTTCGTTTCCGGCGTCCGCTGCCCAGGGCAAGTGGCGTGTCAGCTAGTTGCTGAAAAACCGAATGGATAAACCGTCCGGAAGGTGATCTCTAGAAAGTAGGCACGACAAAACAAAAGCTGTGTGCCCACAGAGTATACTGCTATTCAGATGCAGAAAGGCAAATTGGTATGTGTGGAGTCAAATAGGGAATTAAGGAGCCTCTGGTGACGGAGTGAATTATGTATGGGTTGCTAACCCCAAGGTTGGCAGTTCGAAACCACCAGCCGCTGCGCGGGAGAAAGATGAGGTTTTCTATTCCAGGAAAGATTTACCGTTTCAGAAACTCACAGGGGTTTCTACTCTGTCCCATAAACTCTCTATGGGTCGGAATCGACAGGATAGCAGTAAATTTAGGGCACGTCACACAAGGGCAAAAGCAAAGGCCTGGGGAGGATTTGGGGCTTCGTTCTGAGTGAAGTTAACAAGAAAAGACCAGACCTGCCCGCTTCCCCGCACCCGGCCCCGCCTTCACATACGCGGTCAAAGTCGGGCGCGGAAAGGTGGCAATGGCAGTCCACGAGGCCGGCGCCCATAACGCCGGCCGCCGCCGCCGCGCTGCCTGGCGGTGTCTGCGCCGTCGGAACGCCGCGGCTCCGCAGCCCACGATTCCGGACGGACCCTCGATGGGACGGCCCTGGGGTTCCGAGTCGCCGCCCTTCCGCTTCCGGGATCGCCGCCCTTGTTTTGAACGGTAGAAATGGCGCGGCCGCCGGAGAGGCCGTTCCCTCCTCCACCTGACGATGAAGTCGCCCCTGGGACAAAGGACGTGCCCTCGGTCACCGCCGCCTCCCGAGAGGACTTTCGGGTGCTCTGCACCTCGAAACGGGCCGTGACGGAAGTGCTAGAGCTGTGCGGCCACTTCGTGGACAAGCTGGGGGAAGCGTTGCCCGCGGAGATTCGGGACTCGGCGCTGCGAGACGCGCAGTGGGTACGTGCCGGCCGCCACCTCTTCCCTACCCTACTCCCTGGCGCGTAGGATGGAGGGAAGACCCCCGCGTCAGAACTTCGCAGAGGTGATAGGGTCCCACACACTTCACCTGAGAAATGCGAGAGGACCGTGGAGACAGATACTAATGCTTTCTAAAGAAAACCCAAGGCCACTGCCAACGAGTCCATTCGGACTCCGAGCGGCCCTTTAGAACTGCCCGGTGGGTTTCCGAGATCACCCGGGCGCCTAGGTGTTAGTATTTAGTGGACTAACGCTGCCCCATAGAAATACAAGGCAAACTTAAGTGTGCAAACTTAAACTTAAAAAATTAGAAGAGATAGGGGAAATTAATTTTAGAAGCGCAAGATGCCCAAGTTATTTAAATAGGTGATACTATTAAAAACTAGTGGGGTATTTTACATTCTTTTGTACCCACTAAGTTTGTCAAATCGGGTGTGTTATATTCGCAGCTCCTCTTAACTTGGGCATTAAACATAAAGTGGCCAGGACAGCGCAGGCAGAGGCTCCGAAGAATCCTCCAGGAAAGGGTATTTGTGGAAGCCAGTCACCCGGGTAGCCCTTATTTCCTTTACCTGCCTTAGACAATTATGTAAGGAGAGGGAACATGCTTTCCCTACTAGTCTGAAACAGATAAGGAAGTTAATCTTGGTTATAAAACTTTGAAGAAGATAGTTTTTTGGTAGGAAGGCACTATAAATTGAGGGATTGATGCCTGTTATCAAGAAACCACATTCTATATATACCTATATATTACCTGCTCCACCTCCCCCACAAAAGCAAACATTACCATGTAGTCTGTTCCAACTCAGAAGACCTTCAAGGACAGAGTAGAGCTGTTCCTTTGGGTTTCTGAGGCTTTAAATCTTTAGGGGAGCAGACAACCTCCTCTTTTGCATGTATAGGGACTGATGGAGTTGAGCCTATGATCTTGTGGTTAGCAGCCCAGCACGTAGCAAACAAGGTCACCAGGGCACTTTTGACACCAGACTCCAGCTGACTGCCATGGAGTCAGTTCCGACTCATAGTGACCATGTAGGGGTGGTAGACCTGCCTTTGGGGATTTCCAAGACTAGCTCTTCATAGAAGTGGAAAGCATCATTCTCCCTCAAGTAGCTGGTGCTTTCAGACCGATGACTTCTGTTCTGTCTTAGAAGGTTATGAATTGAAATTGACTCAAGATTGTTATGAATTGAAGTTGACTTGGTGGCAGTGAGTTTGGAGTTTTTTCCCACCTGGTGTTATTGTTCTCCCTATGTTATTCGGCTGAAAGTTGAGCTATGGGGTGAGTTCGGTTTCAGGCTTGAAGGATGTCGAAAAGCCATAGACTCTGGGGTTCCACCAGTCTCTTATCAGACCAGTAAACCCAATCTTTTCTATTAACTTGAGTTTTGTTCCACATTTTTTTCTCTTATCTAACCCAAACCAAACCAATCTGAACTGCCATCAAGTGGATGCCACCTCATAGTGAGCCTATTGGACAGGGTGACTGCTCCTGTGATGAGTTTCCAAGGCTGTAACCTTTCACGGGAGTAGAAGCCTCTTTCTCCCTCCAACAACAGGTGGTTTCGAACTGCTGACCTTGTGATTTGCAGCCTGGTGTGTATCTACTGCATTACCAGAGCTCCTTTGGATCCTAGTTTGATAGTGCATCAAAGAACATAGTGCCCAACTGCCACTTTTGTTTATCCTTTGTCACAAATCTGGAATTATTTGCCTGAAATATTGGACATGAATACATGAAGTTATGCTAGTGATTTGACTATTGTGAATTTCTTGCAGACTTTTGAATCAGCTGTGCAAGAGAATGTCAGCATTAATGGGGAAGCATGGCAAGAAGCTTCAGACAGTTACTTTATGGGTATGTGAGTTAAATTGTTATTTCTTCTGTAATATCCTTCTGTTATTTCTGAGTTGTTTTTGCAGCTAATTATATTTTGAATTCTGTTTTTAAAATCCCCATATTTTCAGTGTCACTTTTAAAAAAAAATCCTTCACTGGAGGAGAAAAAAAGGACGCTAATCTAGAAGACTATTGAAGTAATTAGAGGCAAACAGCACAGCAGGTACTTTGAGCGCTTGTAAATGGTATCTAGAATTCTCAACAGGACTTTGATCACTTTTCAGAAGTACTCTGTCAGTAGTTCATGGGGAAATATTGGCATAACATTCCCAGATAACGAAACAAGTCCAGAGAATTCCTATGATCAGTATTTTAAATTAAATTGTATTTTTACAAGTGGCTCTTAGAGTGGAAGTACCCTTAGAACTATAGTGATAAAATGAGCATTAAAAATCATAAAAGTACATGTAAAGGATAAAGTCAAATATTTGTAGCACGCTCCTTAACCCACTGCCATCGAGTAGACTCTGATTTGTAGTGATCCTAAATAGAGCTTCTGAGACTATTTACACAAACAGATACTTTCAGTCTTGTCCTCTTTGATTGACTGGTGGGTTTGAAGTAATTGACCTTGCAGTTAGCAGTACAGTGCTTACTTAACAGCTCCACCTGTGCTCCTAGAAAACTCCTTAAAAAGGCAGTCTTTTTCTGGTCCAAAGTAGAATTGATCCTACGGTAATTCATGGTGTTCTCATATCTTATAAAATCAAAGTGTTCAGAAACAACCGTCAGTGTCAGGAGGAAAATAATCTAGTAGGAAGTGCATGGCCAGTGTAGGGAGAAAGTCAGAATTCCCCAGTGCCTGCCAGCCATGTCCAGAAGAAGGGCTACTCGGACAGAAGGGCTAGTGTCAGGTCTGCCCCCATAGTCATAGGACACCGATCTGGCCAACATGGTTTGATGTCACTACTCACTGTTAGATGTCTGTAAATTAGTTATCCCTGAACTGGTTTCAGACCTTCCACACAACCCCCTGTGGTCATAATTTATCTTAACATTAATATAATACTTAATCTGAATCCAATTCCAGTTCTATGAAACCATTTTGGAATTGCCTTTTTGATGGGTCCCAGACTACCTTTTATAACAAAGTTCATCAATTTATAGAATAAGTGTGTTAGTGTGGGTAGACTAGAGAAACAAATCCAGGAAGACTCATATGTGTATAAGAAAGAGCTTTATATACAAGAGCAATTGAATATTGAGAAAACAGCCCAGTCCAGATCAAGTCCATAAGTCCGATATTAGCCCATTTGTCTGAAACCAATCTATAAAGTCCTCTTCAGACTCATGAAACACATGTAATGACTCCAAATGCAGGAAGATCACAGGACAGTGGGTGGGAAGTCTTGTGGATGCAGTGGTGTTGTAAGCCTCTCAGCGCTGGCAAGGGTTTCCGTTGGTTTCTTCAGCTCCCAGGGTTGCATTAGGGTAGGTTCATGTGGCTTCTCAGGAATGTCTTGCAGGGAGTCAGCCTTGTCAGTAGAGTTCCCAAGGAGGGAGTTGAGAGTGTCTCCCGCCTCCAGGGAGGAAATAGAGGAGTTCCTAGAATCCTCAGGAGAAGGCCATGCTCACACAGAGGCTTCATTGGCTACATCCTGATTGACAGGCTAGACTCCACCCCTATACTCTTAATCCTCAAATTGACACCAGATTATGGAACTACCACATTAAGAAATCTATTTTTTCCATTAGATTGGTAGTTGAGAGAATGTGGTTAGCCTTAATTTTTGCCTATAACTGTGTAGGGAGATGGTTAAGAGTACTATTGTCACTGCCCTTCAGGGGCACCTGCTAAAATGCTGGGCATCTACCATGAGTTTTCCCAATTACATGTGACATTTCCCAAACATTATCATTCCCTGGAGCCTTGTGCCTATGAAAATGCTATATTCTTTCCTTTCGATGGCCCTCCCAACCCCTATTACACTCTCATTTATTAAATGCATGGGGAATAAGCTATTCTTTTAGGTCTTTTCCCACTTCCCAAAGAGAAGATTGACAAGTGGTGGTAAATAGATGAAAAGACACAGTCTTAACCTGTTAGGAGCTCCTTGTTTGTGGGAGAAAATGCATAAGGAATCAGTCTTTGGGAAGTGAGAGAAGACCTAACAAGAGTAGTTTATTTTTCAATGCATTTAATAAATGAGTGATAGAAATAAGTTGGGAAGAACATTTGACGGATAGAATATAGTGTATGCATAGGCACAAGGCACCAGGAAATGATAATGTTTGGGAAATGTCAGAAGTAAACTGGGAAAACTCATGGTAGATGTGGCCAGAGAAAAGTTGGGGCCAGATCATAAAGAGCCTTGTATCTGCGGAAGAATTTGTGCTTGATCATCAAGCTAGGGGGAAATAAAGAATGCTTTTAAAATAGAATCACATAAAGGCTCTGTATTTTACAAAGCTAACTGCGTGTGGGAGATGGGTTGCAGAAGAGAGATATTCAAGGCAGGCAGATCAGGGGTAGGCTATTTTAATAGTCCAACAGATGGAGACCTGTACTCAGTGGGAAAGGAAATGAAAACACATTCAAAAGACATTCAGGGGAAACAAACAAACACAGAAATGGGGAGGAGTCAAAATGGTCTCCAGGTAGAATCACCCGCCAGGTGCTCCTGTTTTTAGACCAGAAAATTAAGAGAGAGGAATGGGAAGCAAGCCTGAGGAGAAAGTAACTGAGGGTTCCA